GATCACTGTAATCAGCATTTTATTACATAGGAACTCTCAATAAATCTTCTCCCATTCAGAAAGTTGGTCTAAAATTATGAATGAAACCTTTACTTCGGTTTCTGCAGCATTTAGGAGAGAAACTCTTCAATAAAATCCTGATTGTATTTAAGTCGGTAGGTTGACAAAATCATCACACATCAACTCAAAACACTGTGACAAAATCCATTAAGGTTTAGATTTAAACTCCTTTTTGTCTGTTTTACATAGAAATCCAGCTGGACTCAACCTCTGTTTTCACCATAGTTGAAGTGGAAGGAGAACAAACAACTGGGCACAATGCACGAGTTTTGATTGTCGCAGCATAATCCTTGAAAAAGTATTTGTAGCCTCTGGTTTTACCGAATAAAGAAAGAAAATTAACTTTTTAACCATTTTTTGCATTAGAGGCACACATTTCATAATATATTTATTGAGGTTTTATGTGATGGGACAATGCAAAATAGTGTATTGCAAGGTGGAAAAAAATTTATACATATTTTTAGAAATTGTATTTGACTAAAACTTAAAAAAGATGCTTTGTGTTTTTATGCCAATGCAGAACTACCTGACATTTTCTTTTGAAGTACAGCTCTACTATCTATGTTCATTTCCAAATGGTTTAAGTGTATGTAAGCTGCTAGTTTCAGCTGTATATGTAGAAATAAAATGGTCTGCCAGTCGGGTACAAATGGTTCAAAACAACGCCTCTGTGTATTTTCAATAATTATTATGCTTCCAATGATGAATCACTGAACTTTTATGTAAAAAAAGCTTTGTTTGAAATACCAACCAAGGACATCAAGTGATTTTAAAACTAGTCATGTCACTTGAGTCACGTCATTTTGTTTGTCAGTGAAAGTCTCTGCTTCAGAAAATAACCTCCACTTTTGTTTTTTAAATTAATTTTCTTGATTTTCCAAGAAAATTAATGCGTCTGGTTAGCATTTTATTGATGCATCTTTGCGACATGTCTGAGAATGAACCTTAACCCAATGAGTGAGGCCAGGTGCAGGTGCAGAATCTTGTTTTTGTTGACTTTGTGTTGTTTTCTTTTGTCTTGTTGGAGTTGGATTTGTTTAAGCTCTTTATGACGAGCGTTGTTTGACTGATGTCTCCACTTAACCTGTTTCAAATTCCAAAGATAGTTGAATTAATGAAAATAAGTCATGCAGGGTGAGATCCACCCCGGGTGTAGCTCTCAGTAGAGATGCACTGTACTAAGTGAGAGAGAGAGAAAAATCAACTTTACTTCTAATCTCTCTCATTTCCTGAAAAGAGCAAAAATGCATTTCTTTCAAATGTCCTGGAAGATAAACACTGGAAATGATTATTATCATTACTTGCAGTTTCATATCGACAGTTTGGAATCATGTATCATGCATATTATTTTCTTTTTTTCATTCTCCTATTAAATATATGCATGTTTGTGCTATCTCAGACCATAACAAGTAATAAGATTAGTTGCAATAACTATGCAGATAAGAGTGAAGCTGATGACCTGGCCTGGAATCTGGGTGTGGTGATGAACCTTCAGAGACGCATAAAAACAATTACTAGTCGGTCTATTGTCACCTGAACGTTTCCAGGATTGAAGGACTAGTGTCCCAACAAGATTCTGAGACGATCATCCATCTGTTTTTCATTAAACGCATTGATTTGCCCACCAGTCAAAGTTCAGGTCAGAGTCTTGAACCAGAGTCAGGAGCAAATATGGAGAAGCAGCATTCAGTTTTCATCCTCAACTAATCTGGAAGAAACTTTCAGGAAACTGCAAAAATGCTGAAACACTGAATTCCTTCACTTCAAAGTTATAAATGCCTTTGATTAATGATAAGTGAAGTTAGATTAACTCCTCTTGCGTGGAGGGGTGGTTGAATTCCTCCAGCCTGAATTTGAGGCGATGATTAATATAATAGCAATACAACATTAAAAAGATGAGAAGTTTTTGGATCTTCCAGAGAGTAAATTGTTGTGGCTGTGTGGTGTAATTATTAGCTGAGGATTGTCCATGGACAAGATCAACCTTGTCTGCAGTCAGAAATCAGGCCCCAGACAGGAATGTTTCCAGAGTTTAGTACCGTAACATGTACAAGCAAATGTTGTGCATCAGTTGCAAATGTTTGATCTATTGCACCTATTGACAACAATATGAATACCTGAGTATGATTTCATTCCAGATGTGGGTTTTCTGAATGCTGTGCATGTTCCTGAAACCATGACATGAGACAGAAATGCAGATATTTCAGTTTTAACTTTCATAAAAGGCTCACAGGAATAATGGGATAACTTTGAGCGAAGCCAGGAGGAAAAAGCCGGATGTTAAGATAGTGTCAGTTCTCCACATGTAGAAAGTCCATTAATATCTGGTGCATCTTGTAAGATTAGTGCCAAAATCTTCAGGAATCACCAGATTGGTCAAAATTGATATATTTATTGGTATTTTTTTTTTTTTTAGCAAAACTGGCTAATTTAGAAACTTCTAGGATTTGTTTTGTGTGAATGTGTATTTCAGATTATTGTTTTCCATATTACCAGCCTGCGTTTTTATTATCATGTACATCAGTTTTTTCTCTTATTATACTCTAATTACCTCTAAGCAGTCTCAGTATATTGATGGATGACATGACCTTCTTAAATACTTTCTTTTAAGAAGTAGCAACATATTTGAAGAACAGTTCTGGAAGAATCCTTCAAACTTGGCATTTAGTTTTATTTTAATCTCTTCTGGTATCTATAACAGACACACCTGACTCTGTTTTGCATAGTTGGGTTTTACCTTCATGAAAACTGATTGTTTTATGTTTCACCTCAGAAAATCTGCACTCTTTAAATGTAAATCTGATAAGCTGGAGATAAAAAAAAAGATCTTTTGCACCAAGTTAGTCATGATTTTGGTAAGATTAAATTTAAATTGAGAGCAATTACATTTATTTAAGAATCAGCTCCTGAAAAAAAGCAGATCTAGTAATAAATGTTAGCAAATGGATTTTAATCTATGCCCTGAATGAGTCAGTAATTAATGTGCACTATCTATATTTCACAGTCAGGGAAAAGAGATTACTTGCTGTTGTAACTGGAGCGCTGATGGTACAACAGAAATGATGAAAATCAGTGATGACTGGTTATTTTATTTTGTTAATATCAGGACATACTGATTAGCCACGATTCTTTGCTAAAACATATCAGGTGCAAACATCTGTTTTTAATGCTGAGTACTGTGTGTTGTGTTTTATTAAAGTCTACTTGCTGGATTTGTTTGTGATGTAGGAAAATGGGCAATAGCTGGTTCTAACAGTTTCAGGGAGTACACATGATTACTTGGAAAAAAGGTGGGATCTGACTTGCTTCTTGGCAACTTTTTTGAGTGCAAAAAAACCGTTTGTAATCTTAGCTAGCTAACTGGTCTGGGCAAAGAGGGCGGTGTTTGACAGACTGTTTGGTGTAATTATTAGCTTAATTCCTGCGGTGCGTTGAGTAATCACTCAGTCAGCATTAAAGTTCACAGTGTAACAATAATAGTTTCGTTTAGTCCTGCATTCTTGAAAAGGGAAGGTATATTAAGGAAAGATAAATAGACCAAACTGGCTTTCACAACTATTGCCTTTTAACACATAAAAATAAGTTTAGGTTTTTTACTGCAGCATCCTAATCTCACATAGGACAGTTTCAAGAAATCAACCCTGCAGTTGGGGTATGGTTTAAAATTAGAAAAAGAAGTTTCATCTTAAAGAAATAATTGTTTTCAGAAAAATTTCTGATGCTACAAATATTGCATACTATAACAATTTTACAAACAAATAGGAAAATATAGAAATATACATTTTAAAAATGCATCAGTGGGAAAGTAGATGAGAAGGTTGATTCTGTCATTTCCAGATCACTTAGCTGCAGAATGGGAAAGACGAGACAACATGCAATAACTATAAATCAGAAAATTACAAAAAACCAAACATGCCTTACCCGTACGCATGTCCATTTCTCCAACTACAACAAGTTATAAAATGACAAGAAATGTAAAAAAAATAAAAATAAAAATACAAAGCAGGAGGATGCTTCACCTTAAACTTCACAGTAATCTTTGAAACTTTAGGAATCAAACTAAATGTTACTGGGCTGTCATTGACTGTTGGCAGCACTTTCAATCCATCTCTCATCGTACAATGATTAACCTGTGTTAGGCTTACTAATTAATTTACATGATGGATTTTACCCTGCAGCCTTTAGTCAGCATCCTTTTTCCTGTAAATCTCCAATAGGTGCTTTCCTGGTGGCCCTTTAGGTTTTTTTGTTTAATTTATTTGTATTTCAGTCATGCAGGATGAACAACCATTACTAATATCAACGTTGTTGTTTTTTTTACAGATGATAAAGTGGGGTTCTTTCTTGGGGCTTTTGGATCCTTCTCAGCACTGGTCACCATGGTAATAATAATAAAACTACACAACAGAAAGCAAACCAGGTAGGTTGTAAACCATTTTTTCCCCAAAAAAATAGACAAAAGTCTGTCTCTGTTGCTCTAAAATGTAGCGTTACAAACAACATATATATATATTACTCTAGACTGGATCCACAGTCACCTTTTGCCCTCAGTAATATTATTCACACAGTGATTCGCAGAACAATATGCAACTTTGGGTTTGGGACTTCTTGACCTTTTTTTGTCTAATCACTGCACAAAAAAGGCCACTAAAATCTGGACATTGATAGAGACTTAGGTTTGTTTTCTGGTTTCATTTAAAATTTTACTTCAGAACACTGCTGCAAAAACACATTCTTTCACTTTTTGATACTTTTCAGATAAGCAAACTTTCAACAATTCAAGACAAAGATAATCTCTAACAAAGGAAATAAAATGACTGCTTTTATTATTAAAGCAAAAACCAGGGAAATGGGTACAAATGAATTTTTACTAGCTATACTCTGTAGAATAAAACATCTGAGATGGATAATTTATGAGGCAAAAAAAGCAACTTTGGGTTTTGCTGGCCTCATTTTAAAGTTAGAGTTCATGATTTAACAATAAGAAAGATTCTTGGCATCTGAGGAACAGCTCCAGAGTGAAAACCACGGCTAACGAAAGAGAACACAAAGGTTTGTTGTACATTTGTGAAAAAAAAACAAAAAAAAACATCCTGATGATCCTCTAGACTTTAGGACACAAAACTGGAAAAGTGAAATCTAACAAACTAATCACAAAGATAAAGAAAGTAGCACAAATGAATAAACTAATACAGCAACCCCAAAACTATGATAAACGAAAAAATCTGGCAAAATCTAATAGAACAAAAAGAAACAAACAACAAAACCAGATGCAATCAGTCCTGAACTTAATCATTATAATCACAATCTTAACCCTGCAAAATGAGCACAAGCCATTGCATTCAGTTCATCTTGGCTTATTGTCACCCTTGGTTTTGTTGGATATTAAAAAAATAACAACATTTTCATACTTTTCTATAATTAAAGTTGAATCTACTTTCACATGACCTTTAATTCTTTGTGTCTCTCTCTCTATATATATATGAACCATCACCGCATAGTTTCCCAACTTTAACGAGCTGTAAAGTCACAAAGGATGGCGTGTTTCAGCTATAGACGGCCGTATATCTTTCATTCGGCTGTATACGTTCAAAGTCAGAGCGGTTTGTTATCTTATGAAAACTGGTACATAGCGAGACGTCTTCCTACCCTCCCATTCCGCTCCAGCACACCTTTTTGCTGTGCAAGCAGAGATGTACAAAGACAATGATGAATCCCACCTGCTCATTTCATATCCAACAAATCGGGCCTCCTAAATGTTGCTCGTAAATTTCCTTTCTGATCTGATCAAACCAGATAGCCTGTGGGATTATATTCATGACTGCAGTCCAGAGGAGCAAGAGGCCAACAGTAGTGGTAGCTCCTGGGCAAATACAAACAAATTAAAGGCTTGTTTTATGAGCTCACTGACTTCATTTGGGCTTTCCCTCTTTATTACTCTAGTGGGAGAGAAGGAAAAAAAAACGACGAATGTTCAAAGTTAGGAGGCCTCCTCACACTGTCAGCGGCTCTTGAAGCGGGCGCTCAATTGAAACTGCTTTGTTTTTGGGGTTATGGGGGCAAAAAGCAAACCCACCTGCCCCCTTTTTGATGCCTGGATCAGAGGAGGCCAGGTGTAAGGAGAGAATGTCTGAAGCCCTGCAGATGCTCAGGCTTGCATCAGAGTCCCGAGACACTCTTAGGCAGAAAACGCTACACCTACAGTTGTCAAAATGTGACCAGAGACATCTGATATGCTCTCTGAGTGAGTGGTTAGCTGACATGCATGAGCTCTTCAAACAAGTGCAGACAGATTGACTTCTCTGCAACAACAGAAGCAGAGCAGGATGTAAGTAGCAGGGGGTCTTACTGTATTTCAGATCTTGTCTAGGTTGCGTGTCTGGAGGAAAGCTGCACTGATACTTCACAACTGTGTGTGTGTGTGTGTCAAACAGGTAGACGATGAAGGCCTCCTGTCCACGTGCTCCTTGTGTCTCAGACTTCCAGGGGTACTTTCCACGTCTAGGGTTACTTAGCAGGTTTTAACAGGCGGAGTGGCAGCTCACCACAGGAGGATAAAAGTCACTGCACCATGAAGTGATACTGTGTTTTTTTTGTGCGTGTGTGACTCTTCCATCATGTCTCCTCCTATTTAGCTTAATGACACATCAAAAGGTTGACGGAGGGGCCTTTGTGTGTTTGTGGAAAATGGTTTAAAATGAATCGAAAGAGTGAGGGCAGCAGCAGATTTGGAGTGAGTCTGTCTCCCTCCCATTTAATCCAAAAATTTACATGAAGCTCTGGGAGCTGCCAGCCAGACTTTCATCATGCATTAGATTAATTGTTTTTGATCTCCAAGTATAGAAATGTTTTCTTAAAATTTGAATATCTCTAGAGTGGCTCCAAAGAGGATGATGGCAAAAAGCGTCAAGAAGAGCCGACATGTTAGGCTGGATTTTTTTTTTATTCTTCCTCGGTTTTTTCACAAAAAATGTGTAAGTAATGGGCAGTATTATGCGTTTTTCAGCCACATAGTTACAATTAAGTAACTATATTCTCTTCCATTGTTATAAAAATACTATAGTAAATAGGACTTAAAAAATTTTGACTTCATAATTTAATCTCTTGAAATTGGGCCTCTGTCACTTTCTTTCTGAAACTCTGCCTTCAGGATGTCATTACACATTGTTCCTCTATTAACCCATTAACAATGTTTTTACCAGCTTTGCACTGAGAAGTAACTTGTATAATGAGATGTTTGCTAATGGCTACTAACTAGTCTGAAGGGTCTGAGTGGGAGAGTCATGGGGGAGGCATGCTGTGTGGCATCAGCTCCAAAATTTGGAACCTGCAGCTATAAGCAGCGTTTTTCACAGCTGAATGGTTGCCGTGGAGATTAAAGGATTTCTCAAACATGCATGAAAGAATCAAAGCAACACACCAGGTTTGTTTTTGATGAGGGAATAACATTTTAATATGATTTAAAGGTAAAAAAGCAGATTTTAAATGATACTGTCCTTTTAAAGGGATGCTAACACTCCAGCAGGTCTTTCTGTGTGAACATTCAAATGCATAGATTTAGTCAAACTGCACCAATCATTACAAGTACAAGGGTTTTTCAAAAGTGAATCCACCTTTTGAATCTTTTTTCATTTTGAATATGACATATCTTGTACAAGTCAACTGAAAAACACAAGAGGAGAAAAATATAAGCTGCAACAACCTGTTTGCATCTGAGTGAACAGTCTGAAGCTGTGGCTCTAGATTTAACTTCTTTGTTTGTAAGATGTCTGATTCTTTCACATTTTGATTTGTATTTTCAGAGAGAGAAAAGAGGAGCCTCTGGAGATGGTGACCCAAGCACAGACCTGATTAACCTTCAAAGCACTCTTGGATTACGGAGGATCGTTCTGTTTTGAACTCAGCATTTGGAACTAACATGAAACTCATTTGCCCATTTGGATGTTGTTGTTTTTTTGTTCTTTTGACCCGTTGATGTTATCAGAAAAGCCTGAGGCATTAACTTTCAGGCATGCTCCTCGGCCTCATGTTTTCTCCCATGTTTAGTCTGGAGAAACTCCAGGTTGTGGCAAATGGTGCGTAGGGTGACAACTGTGGCAACCAAAGTGAGGAGAAAAACAACAAGAGAAAAAAGTTTTCATATCACAGATTTGCATGGCCAAACGGTTGATTTTGTCAAGAAAGAAAGTTGTATAAATACTACAAGGCGATATCATCTTCACCATCAACACTCCTTTCTCCCCGCTGGCTTAAAATGGGACCAGATGTGTTCTTGCTCATGTCAACTGTGAAGCGAACCCGATCGTTTTTCGGTTGAACAACTTTGAACTCGTACACAGGGTTTGTGTGGCCTCAAATGCTTCAGTCAAATGAAGAGTTTTGCTGAGTGACTGAGGGAGGGAGAGAAAAAAAAAAACTCCCCCCGTGTTACATAAAGGTCAGCCCTTTACACCGTATCGACACTTTGTTTGTGAATCTTTGTTCTGTTTCATATTTGCATGAAAATAATGATGGAGCGAAAGTTTCTATAAACACTTGAAAACAGCAAGGCAATAAATAATACTGTGTTTGACATGTGGTATGTACACTGTGTGTGGGTGCACACTACTGTTTAGAGCTCATGCAGGGATAAAGGAATCATCCCTCTACAAGCCTGCAGGCACGCACGGTCGGGTACAGCAGCGCGCCCCGTCAGGAAGACCGTCGTATCACTTTACCTCTCCGTCCCATCTTCTACTTTGAACAAAACAAAATACTCAGTGCGGTCAAAGGGAACAGTGACAGGGTTCCTTGTGGCTGATCCCCGGCAGTGATAGGTGGGGGTCCAGCTTAAAGTTCAAGTCAAAAACTAATTGAAATAACCTGGCCTGCTGCACTTTGAAGGTTTTTTTTTTTGCAACATGTGAGCTCTGTTTCTCCTCCATGGACCAACTACCTATTGTTAACCTTTAAGATGACAATGAAACTTGAAGGCAGCATCTTTTCTGCTTCCTGATGTTTTTCCATTGCAAACAACAAGAAATTAAAGAAACATTAAAAAGAACGTCAGAGCAAGGCAGCACAGCTTGCATCCAGATTGCATATTAAACATAACTCTTTTGTTTTTTTAAACTTGAACAACATTCTTTAAATGAATCCAGGTCTGATGCGACTTTGCTTCAGTCACATCAGTCACTAGGAATTATTTCTTAAATCAATAGCAGTAGGGACAAAGTGTTTCAGGAGGTCAGAGATAAACAATGTGGAAGGCTTTTTTTTCCTGACTTGTTCATTTGATATGACAGATGTGTCCTGCAGATGTGTAAGGAGATATCAGAGCAGCGTGATATTTCTTGTCAAAGTGAAGTTTGTCAACGAAAGCGATATCAAGTTACTGTCGGCATATCACTCCATCTAGTAAAAAGACTGTCATGGTGAATGTGAAGGGAAACTCTTCCTGATACTATCTGAAGATTAGGAAAGTATTTGAGTTTTCTGTCAGTAGATTTTAAGTGCAAACATAAGCATAGTGTCTCTTACCACTATTGCTTATGAGACACTATATAAAATAGTGTCTCTATGAAAAAAATGCATTTAAATTTAAGTAATCTGTTCCTCAGCTGATAAATTAAAGAGCAGTTGCCAAAAAACCTCAAAACGGATCTAAAAGTGTTTTCTAAAACGACACCAATGGAAACTCTTTGTGATGCCAGTTATGCTCGCAGCTATCAAAGCCATCCAGATGAAAATAAATTCTTGTGTGTGAATAAAACTTCTTTCCGCCTTCAAATTTTCCATATTTGGTGCAGTCTTGCAAAGGTCAAGTATGTTTGTGGTGTGGAAGAGAAAACATCTTTGATACCATTTGTTTCTTTTTAAAGGAGAAGTGTTATGTATTTTCCAGGCCTGTAGTGCCATTTTATAGCACAGTCAAGTAGCCATGTTACCTTTAATTGTTATAAAAATGCTATATATATATTAAATATGACTTAAAAGAAATTTGACTAATTTCATGCTTGAAATTGGGCCTCTGTCTTTTTAAAAACTGCTCTTTCTGACACGCCACCTTAATGAAAGTCGGCACAAACTGCTCCTCTATTAACCCTTTAACAATGCTTTTACCAGTGTTTCACTGAGAAGTGGTTTGTATAATGGCCTCAGCAGATGTGCAGTTCCACCAGGCGTTTGCTAATTACTGCTGACTAGTCTGAAGGAGCTCAGTGGGGGAGTTGTGGGAGAGGGATGCTCTGTGAGGTGGAAACTCTGAAGTTTGGAGACTGCTGGTCAGAGGAAGAACAGTTCATCCACATGAACTCGCACAAATCCACGTCTGAGCATCGTCAGGGCCAGGGTAGCACAAAGCTAAAATCTACATCGGCCAATCAGATTGCTTCCAGTTTGGAATTAAGCATGGTGACAGGAATGTTATATTCTAATATGTTAAATAACATATTAGAATATAAAGTAAGTAAAACACAAAGACAATGATGTTTGGGAATCATGTCCAAACAAGTATCTGGATATACTGGTGCATTTGAGCTTTTATAAGTAATCATGAGTAATGGTGATATTAAACAGAGGTTTTGTGTGGATAGAAAACCAAAATATACTATAAAAATGTATCATTCAGTGAAGGTGAAATGTTTTGGCTCTATCATTTAAGAAATTTAAAATCCCGTAGAAGGTGCCTTCCAAAATGCCTTGCTTATGCAACGCAACGATCCCTGCCCTTCGGTTGGTTTTGTCTCTTGCTCCATTTTATTCCTTTTACAAGTGATTACTTGTAATTCCTCTCCCGGTTTTGGACAGGGGTGTGTCAATCTTTCAAACTCTAATTTTGAAGTAGACTAGAAGAAACTAGCCCAGGTGTTTTTGAACTGTTGCGTTGACAGAGCTGCTGATAAAGAAGCTGGTTGTCGTCACTCGGTTACATAAGCATTGAAGGTGACTCCACCGCAGTTAGTTTATCTTGCAGTATTTTGGATTCTCCGTAGAAAGATGAAATGACAGGCAAGGCTGAAATGATTCAAAAAGACTGCAAGAATCTAACTAAACATCTGGGGCTAGCCATTTCAAACAAATTATGCTAAAGTTAGCATCTACTTCAGAGCTTCCTGTTAGTGTTAAATTAAAGGAAGACTTTACAGTTCTTTTAAGAGTCTGGTCTATATTGAATAAGTCAAACCTTAACTGAACTATTCCTCATCCTCATTCTTTAAGACAACATTTGGTGTCTTAAAGAATTAATTTAGACTACTTGAGAAAAAGGTTTTGCTAAAAATATTGTCCTGAATGAAGTAAGTAGCTCTGATAAGCTCTTAGTTCCATTTCCATGTATTTAATGTCCAACAAGCTTGATCAGATACAACATATTTCTACTAAAGCTAAGGAAACTATTACCAATTATATTCTCACAGAGAACTCTTTTTCATTCTGGAACCGCGACACTGAATTTAAACGTAGGTAAATTCTTGATGCGGTGCTGAGATCTGACTATTTATGTACAGAGTATCAAACTCTGGCACTAATACATGTGACACTGATATAACACAAGAGCTGCCCAACCAAAGAAAAAAAGAACCACAAAATCTCCCATC